AAGCCGCGTACGACCCAGCGTGCTTCGAACTTGTCGATGGTCCCGTCGGCTTTCGTTTTCACGCGGAAAACCCATTTTCCGGCGAGAACGGTTTTGTTGCGTGCCACTCCGATGGGTAAAATTTTCCAAGAGTTGCGGTATTCTAGTGCTTCTAATTCTCTGTCCATGGCTTCACGCCATTTTTCCCTGTGCTCCCCCCCCCAGAGCCTGCTGAACTGTGGCAGGCTCCTTAGGCGGCGCTGCTCCGTGGACGGCGGTGACGAGTCCCAGTATCTGCAGTCCACTCTGTGTGTAGCGGGGGAGATTTGCATCCTCGGGATAAGCTGCTTCATCTCCCGCTTCTGGATCAGGTAAGAAATTGGGCCCTATGCGTTTGGAGACGTTGGTGTCGACCGGTTGGGGTGTAACGTAACCGTTGTCGGCGAAGTCGTAGTGGACTTTGGCGTTGACACTTTCGCGAGGGTTGTCGTCGTCCATGGGGATGTTCACTCAGCAGTACGGAAGTGGTCCAGCCTCCTCCGAAGCTCCGTCCACATTCTGCTCGTCCCAGTCAGCTTCATCTGCTAACGAAGCGAAGGCTCGGTCCCCACGAAATCCGCCCGTGACATCTCGATTTGCTTCCAGGTTGTCCAGGTACGTCTGAAGTGTGTGTCGCTCGTAGAAAATGACATCACGTGCTGCTAGTGTTTCCTTTGTGTGGACGTAAAAAAACTTCCATGCGTTGTAGTGTTTTTCGATGCCCAGGTGTAGTCCCCACTATGCGCGTTGGGAGAATCGGCCGGCTCGTGCAACTGGGGGTCGGTACTGTTCCATACAGCCGAATACTCGTAACATTTTTGTGCTGCCCAATTTTCCTGTCCACAGCAGATGCGGTGATGCGTTGCTCGGGAGCGATGATGACGAGAGCAAGTTGTGCAGCATGACAGCGTGGTCCATCGCCTCGGGCCACTAGCGGTTAGGTAGCCGCATGCCACGTAGCAGCTTGCGCATGGTGTTCTGGAGGGTCCTTTACAGATCGGAGTTGGAGTCGAATCCCGTGGTGAGGTTGGCGCTTCTATGAACTTCGCGTGGAGTTGGTGTCAACTGCTGCGCAGGAGTCGGTGGAGTATCGTCGACTAAAACTGGTGCCGTTGAAGGACCCGCGATTGGTGTTGTAGTCAATGTTGCCTCTGCTGTTGCCGGTGTTGTCTCTGCTGCTGCCGGTGTTGTCTCTGCTGCTGCCGGTGTTGTCTCTGCTGCTGCCGATGTTGTCTCTGCTGCTGCCGATGTTGTCTCTGCTGCTGCCGATGTTTGTTGAATTGTTACTAATGCTCTCGTTCGTTCTGCTTCAGGAATAGTGTGCGAGTACCAGAAGCCTTCAGAGCTGAAGCTGGGGTCAAGATCTGGCGGGTGTGTCCAAGAGGTGAAATTGACGATGGCGTCGCTGTCTGCGGTGCCTTGGTCTGGAACGAAGTCAAGAACGAAAACATTGTTCTTCAAGACTACCTTGCCGATGTAGAGTCCTCCTCTCCCGTGGTACAGCTTGAACTCCTGGGCGGCGTTGTCTGATTCAAGATGAATTCCCTTCGTCATTAGTTGACTAACACTGAGTAAGTTGTAGCCGAGTCCTTCTGCGATTAAAACCTTTGACATCTGCAGAATAACGTTGGTTTCTCGAGACTGAAGTTGAACTATCCCTTATCGTCGTGTGCACAGGTTCTGGTTGTTGGCGATGGTGATTACGACTTCGCGCTGAAGTTGGTGTTCCCGTTGAACGAAGCGCCCCGATGAGAACATGTGCTGTCCGCAGCAACTGTCCAAGAAGCATGTGTCTTTCCCGGACGGCTCGCTTTGGGCGATGGCTGCGTACGTCGGATTTGGCTCCAATGATTCGCGGTGAGGGGTGCTTTCGTCGAGTTGTTCTTCTGTTGTGTAGTATGGTGGCGATCCGGTGATGCAGGAGTCTGTTGTTCTTGCCATGCAGCTTACGATGTTTCTTCCGCCTTGCGCAGGTTTTGTCGTTGATGTCGTTGAGGACTGTACTTGGTTGGTGGGATGCGCTTGAGTAGAAGCAACTTGACTGCTTGAGGGTCGAAGTTGACGTTGCGGCGGCGTTGACTGCTGCTGATTCGGACAGTGTGTGCGAGGGTGTCCTGACGTCTTGCAGAGATGGCAGAATGGTGGTACGTACTGTTGAGCTTGATGTTTGTTTTGTTGATTGTTGTTGTTGTTGTAGCGCCGTTGAGTGTGGAACGCGAACTCTGGTGCTGACGCTCTCTTCTTGTGTCGTTCTTCGTGTAGGTCCATGTCCTGCTGTTCAGCGTGAATTTCGGCGCAGAGTGCTGCTTCGGAGATCTTCCTGTGAGCTCGGAGGATAGCTCAAGTGGAGCGCCAATGAGGGCCGAGGCCAGTGATGACAACTGTCACGAAGGCTTCTTCGGATATTGATCCTCTGCATCGAAGAAGTCTGTCGCGCAATCCACGACAACGGCTGATATACGCCATCCCTTTTTCGTCGGGTTTCATTTCCACTGTTGTTAGCTGTGCCATGAGACGACTTTGATTAACACTGTCTGTTGCTTGATACAGGTTCTTCAGGTGGTTGTACGCGAGCTTGGCGGAGTTGCCGTATCCACGATAAGACCGGATGTTCTTCTGCTCGTTCGGAGTTATGTTTCGTAGAAGAATTGTATACGCCATCAGCGACTGATACGTGTACTGTTGCTTGTCTTACTGCATCCCGTGTGTTGGGTATGGCAGGGATCCGTTGAAGAATCCGAGAATCTGTGCACCTTCCATTATCAGCTCGAACTCAAATGACCAGGTATAAAGGTCTTCGCCGTCGAAAGGTGTCGATGTCTGCAGTTTCAAGACGTGCGCGAATTGCGATTGTACCTGAAGCGCGTCCAGTGTATTTTCTTGTCCAGGTGGAGGCTGCTGGTGTGGCATGAAGCTTATGGAGCCGGGTTGAGGCTCGTACGGAGCAAAGGTAGGTTGCTGCTGGTTTCCGCGCGCATAGGATGAGCCGTCGAGGCTCATTGGAGTAACACCGTTGTTGTTGTCGCTGTTGTTTGATTGCGCAGGAGTTGTTTGCTGGTGCTGCTTGTAGAAGGACATGAAGGAGAAGAATTTCTCCATCATACTTGGGTCCAAGCCTGTTGCCTGGTTCGCAGGAGTTTCAGTAGACTCAGCTGCTGGTCTTGTTGCCGTGCCTCCCTCTGTCTGTAGACCAGAGGTTGGAGGTGGAGTAGGAATCGTGCCGGGAGAGCCATTAGAAGAGCTTCTCTCCTTCTGTGTTGCCATGTCTTCTGTTGTTGTAGGAGTGTTAATGAAGTTGGATCTTGCCTTGTGAGCTGTCATACCATGTTGGGCTGAGAAAAGCCCTTAGGATCTTTCAAGGCTAAGACCCTGAGTAGGAATGTTGTAGTTGCGGAAGCGTTCTTTGTAAACTTTGTTGAACCAACTTGCACTAGTGTGTGAGAGCAAGAGATTGATTATAGCAAGGTAATACAAAGAATTTTTTATGATTACAAGGAATTTGAAAAGGTGCAACTAACTGTTAGCTTCTGCGGTTTGATACAATGATGACTCGGGCAACTGCTCAATACCGAGTCAGTTGTTTGTCCTTGCTGTCGCGCTGTATTTCGCTGAGTCAAAGGTAGCTGACCTTTGACCTTCCCGTAACCTCCAGCTGTTACTTTCTGTCAACCTCCTCGGTTGACTCGCCGTTGCTTCGCTGAGATTCGACTCGTTTGCAGTCTATTGTTTTGACACAACAGGAGCGTTTAAATTACTTGTTTCCAACAGAGTACATCGCTGTCAATATCAACCTAGATCTCTTCGGCAACTTTCCGAGCTTTCTTGAACCCAGCCTGCCCATCTCTCTGAATTAGTAGGCTTGGCTTGGCATGGGAATCCCAAGCAAGAGTAGCGACGGCTATGCTGAAATTCCTCCCTAGATCCTGATTCCCTGAAGCGGTGGACAGTGCAAGGGACACAGCTCATTATGCCAATCGCTATGTGGTGACATAGTGGCATAGTGGCATTGTCGCCGGCCAAGCGTGAGGAGATTATGAGATTAACGTTGGACCGTTCGTTTGCCCTGTCGTCGAAGCTTGGCGTTGTATGTGGTAATTTTCGAGTTCAGTGCTGTTTTACCAAAATCTGTTAGTGTTTTATCAATAATCTGCTAGACTACTAGCGACGGGCAGAGCTGGTTGTAGACGGACGTCCATTTGTTGAGTGAACGATTTCTCGATTAAACGGGAGTGGGACCTCGCCGTCTCGTTTATACATGTCGCTTCGTCAATAATCAGCTAACTGGTTTCCTGCCGACCGTATTTCGAGCTAACTGATAGCCGTCTAGCTTGTTTCCAGTTGGCGGTTGACCGGAAGCCGGCAAGATGAGGGGAGGCAAGTTCTAGTAGTAGGTGGTGGAGGATGGCAGCACGCGGAACTCGGAATCGCTTTTCGAGACGCATTCTATCACGGATATCGTGGCGATCGAGGCGCGCACGAGGAAGGAGGTTAAGGAGAAGGAGGAGGAACTGCAACAGCTGGTCAGAGCGAGCTATCGCCACCTCATCGAATCCGCGGATTCGATCCTCGACATGCTGAGGTACGCAGTGGAAACCATGATATTTGTGGAATTGCGTGCGTGCGAGCTTGATTGTGGTCGTCATGCTGAATCCATGTCTTTTGTGTGATTCCATGTCTTTGCGGATTCGATTCTCGACATGCGGAGGTACGCGTGGTGTGGAGACCAACATGTTCTCGAAATGGGATATGTGAGCTTGATCTCGATCGTTATGAGTCAGCAAGTAGGCATCTTGAATCCGCTCACTCAAAATCCCCATGTGTTTCTTCCTCTGGGTCTCGTATCATGCCATGTGTGCGTGCGCATGTCTTTATGTCTGTGCGTTAACACGTGCCCAGGTCCTGCGAGGCGGTGTTGGGAAATGTAGCTATGGAATCGAACTAAATCCATTCCTTGTTCCATGTAATCTGGTGCATCCATTATCATGTGGCACACACATGCTCATGTTCATTCATTTCACATCCCACAGGTCGTGCAAGGCGGTGGTGCGCAGCGCAATGTGGCAGCCATGGAATCGGACTTCGCCTTGCTGCATAAAACCATTTCCACCACCGCCACCACCACTCCCGCCGCCGACGCCAAGCGCAAGGTGAGCACCTGTGTGATCACCAACTAACACGTGTGAAACGCCCATGGAAAGAGTTTAGACTTTGCTCTGCTGCACAAAACCATCTCCACCTCCGCCACTGCCGCTCCTGCTGCTGATGCCAAGTGCAAGGTGAGCACCTGTGTGGTCCAAGGGTGTGCCACAATGCTACTATATTACTGTACTACTGTATTATGATCTGGTCGGGCTGTTACTTACTGTATAAATGTGTATTGTACTCGTTACAGTGTTTACCCCTACTTCCCATACTACAGCGCAGTGAGCCGAGTCAAGTGCCTGGTGGACATGCCATAGAAGATATGTTTGGTGTTTTTGTTGGCATTGTAACCAAGTTACGGACCTCTGCCCCCTTCTTTCCCTTAACCCACAGTGCAAGGAGGCCCTGTATGCGCTGGGCAGCTGAGTCAAGTACATGGTGGACATGCCAGAGAAGATCTGGGAGTGTGACTGTCTAAGTTACCAACTGTGCGCTTCACGGTGTCCCTCCCTGTTACCTGTGTTCACTACCCCCCTTCCATTTCCACAGCGCAAGAAAGCGCTATATGCACTGGGCAGCCAAGTCAAATACCTGGTAGACACCCCAGATAATATCTGGGGGTGTCTGGACGAGCGAATGTTCCTGGAATCTGCGCAGCGGTTCATGCGCGCTTGGGAGCTGCACCAGCTGCTGTCACCCTCTGCAGCTGATGGAGCAGCAGCAGCAGCAGGGGGAGGGTGGTAGGCGCAGCATCAAGGGTTGATGGCGTCGTTCCCCCTGCTGCGGCACCAGTGGCTGCTTGTGGAGACGTTTCGCACCCAGGTGAGCAGCGGTTCATGCGCGCATGGGAGGTGCACCAACTGTTGTCGCCCTCCCCGACTGATGGAGCAGCAGCAGGGGGAGGGTGGTAGGCGCAGCAGCAAGGGTTGATGGCGTCGTTTGCTCTACTGCGGCACTAGTGGCCGCTTGTGGAGACGTTTCGCACCCAGGTGAGTCACAGCCCCATGCGGTAGCTCAGCCCAAGTTCAACTGCAAGTGCAAGTGTGCTTATGGTTGGTGGCGCTTGCCTTGCTCCCCAAAGGCTGGTGGCATCGTTTCCTCCGTGGTTGCACCAGTGCCCGCTTGTGAGACGTTTCGCGTGCAGGTTAATGACGACAGAACAAAATTCGAATTCATCAGTGGCTGCTTCGACACTCCGTTGTGTTCTAAAGTCAATGATTCTGATCGACGGTAAAGAAAAATCTTTGAGATCTTTGAAAGGAGCAGAGAGTGTCTGCAAGATGCATACCACATTCTAGCAACAGCGGAAGTGGGATTGTATGCATCAATTTCTAATTACTATAGATCGACTCAACAACCCCTCATCTGGCACATACACCAACTCTTCCTTTTCCCGCCCCCCACTTGTTTCCACCTCACCAGATCGTTGAGAGGAGCAGGGAGTGCCTACATGATGCATCTTGCATTCCTGTAGTAGGCGAGGAAGAGTACGCAGCAGCACTGGCAACGGTGGCAGTGATAGAAGAGCTCTCGTCGTCCCATGACCTCCTCACTCTCTTCCTTGACGCACGTCGAGCATGTCTGCGCTCCCAGGTGTGTGCGTGTCTCCTCTTTGTATGCCGGGCAATGAAAGAGGGTGCGAGAGGGGGAGAAGGGAGAGTGGGGAAGTATGCAACAGTGCTGGCAGCGGTGGCAGTGATGGAAGAGCTCTTGTCACACGACCTCCTCGCTCTCTTCCGCGATGCCCGTGAAGCGTGCCTGCGCTCCCATGTATATTTGTGCACGTGGTTTCTTCCCTCTGTTTGTGGGGTGAAGAATGAGGGGGGGGGGGGGGACTGAAAGGGAGAGTACGCAGCAGCGCTGGCAGCGGTGGTAGTGATGGAAGAGCTCTCGTTGCGCAGCCTGCTTGCTCTTTTCCTCGATGCCCGTGGAGCATGCATGCGCTCCCAGGTGTGTGCATGTCTCCTCTTTGTGCGTGCGGCAATGAAAGAGGGTGCAAGAGGTGGAGAAGGGAGGGTGGGGGAGTGTGCAGCAGCAATGGCAGCGATGGCAGTTATGGAAGAGCTCTCCTCGCATGAGCACTGTTGGAGAAGCTGCAGGAGGAGCTGGAGCCTATTGACAGAGCCGCGTGAGTCGCATTCATTCCCTCCCATTTCCCATACTGCATAATGAGAACCCACTAGGCTGGAGGAAATGCGTGGCAGCGCTGTTGGAGACGCTTTAAGAGGAGCTGGACCCCATCGACAGAGCTGTGTGAGTTACATTGATCTCCCATCCCATGCACATGCCACCGTCTTATGTTTGAAGAGTGGCAGCGCTGTCGGAGAAGCTGCAAGAGGAGCTGGACCCCGTCGACAGAACCGCGTGAGTAGCGTTGATCCCCCATGCTCTATCATGGTCGAACAGCATATGAGAGGTCTCATAACGTGGCTGAAAAGCACGTGTGGCAGGCAGCGATGTTGGAAATACAGATGGGGTGCGTTGAGAAACACATGGGTGGGAGGGGGAGGAGGGTAAGGAGGGGTGGCACCCCGGGCTGGCACCTGACTTCGCGTCCATCCACCTTTGGAGATGTCTCGCTATCCGTTTGTGGTTCCAGCAGCAACACTGGCGCTCTAGTTTCCCGAGTGCCTAGTGGGGCACGGGTAGGGGTGGTTGCAGCAGCAGGAAGTGGTGGTGGGTTTGGAGGGTTGGAAGCGGTGCGTGAGGAGAAGATGGAGCTCTTGGAGGGGCGTTCTCATTTGCAGATTCCGCAGGTCTTTCTGCTACACCCATTTTCAAGTCGCTTATGGGACATGTGTCAGAGGTCCACTGGTGATCCCCGATTGATCCTAGGAAGGGTTACAGGCACGTCGGCCTGGGGGGTTATGGGCGCACTCACCCGCTACACAAACAAGCCCTTTTATCCCAGTGGTTAGTGGCTGGGATTCTGACATGGTATCAGAACGAAAGTCTCAGGTTCAAATCCCGGTGTGTGCACTTCGGGTATCCCAGTGCGGGGGGGTGTCAGAGTCCACTGGTGATCCCCGATTGATCCTAGGGAGGGGTTATAGGCACGTCGGCCTGGGGGGTTATGGGCGCACTCACCCGCTACACAAACAAGCCCTTTTATCCCAATGGTTAGTGGCTGGGATTCTGACAACAGGTACTACATTCAAGCTGGTCATCTTTATCTCCTAACATTCTGTAAGTGCTTTCTACTACCCTCCGTACTTTCGATTTTGCATTGGCTGCGACTTACGGATTGCCCTCGTTGCTCCCGCCTGAGTACAGGTCAAACTGGGTTCAATTCTCGGCGAAGGCAATCAAGTTACGCACAACATTTCAACTTTCAAGAGATGTTCAACCAGCCATCGCAGGCAGCTGGGCTGTTCTCATCGCTCACAAGTGCTGCCGCTGGCAGCCCCTCTCGCCTGAAAAAATTGTTTTAATACAAGAACAGTACAGTATTGTACCTACTAATGCAAATGGATTACCTTGAACCAGCTCTCATCTCATGCAGCTGAACTTTTTTATAAACGCGTCTATCAAATCATATGCATGTTATATATGTGTAGGCTGTAGTGGGGTAGCCAATATGGGGTAAAACCCCATTAGGGTTTCATATTTGTACCAAACCCTGATCTAGTCAATTCATTCCTGCTACTACATTCTAACATGGTTTCAGAGCACGACCGTCTTTTTTTTTTTTTCCCGGGCCCACCTACCGTTGCGGTTACCGCACTAGCCTTCGTCTGCCTTGCCTTATGACGTACTGCGCTGCGCGCGCCGTCCTGCAGTCCTCGCGCTGCCTACTGTTGCCCTAGCTACGCGGCCCCGCCCTGCCGTCGACGCGGCCCCGCCCTCCCACTGTCGCGGCCCCGCCCTGACGCCGACGCGGCCTCGCCAGGTCATGGCCCCGCCGACGCGGCCCCGCCCTGCCGCCGTGTCGCGGCCTCGCCCTGCCGCTGACGCGGCCCCGCCCTGCCGCTGACGCGGCCCCGCCCTACCGCCGACGCGGCCCCGCCCTGCCGCCGACGCGGCCCCGCCTGGCCCCGCCCTGCCGCCGACACGGCCCCGCCCTGCCGCCGACGCGGCCCCGCCCTGCCGCCGACGCGGCCCCGCCCTGCCGTCGACGCGGCCCCGCCTGGCCCCGCCCTGCCGCCGACACGGCCCCGCCCTGCCGCCGACGCGGCCCCGCCCTGCCATCGACGCGGCCCCGCCCTGCCGCCGACTCGGCCCCGCCCTGCCGCCGACGCGGCCCCGCCTGGCCCCGCCCTGCCGCCGACACGGCCCCGCCCTGCAGCAGCTGCCGCGGCCCTGCCCTGCCGCTCTCGTGGCCCCATCCCTGCAGCTGACGCGGCCCTACTCTGCAGCCGCTGTTGCGGCCCTGCCGTCGCCACCGTCGTGCGCCTGCCCTTCCCGCCACTGGTGAGCACCTGCCTGCCTGCTTGCCTGCATGCCTGCCTGCCTGCCTGACTGCCTGTCTGCCTGCTTGCCGCGCCTGCCCTGCCCGCGCTGCTACTACTGCTACTTCTGTTACTGCTGTTAGGCTGCTGCTGCTACTGCTGCTGCTACTACTGCTACTGCTGCTACTAGCGGTGGCCAGATGCAGCTCCAGCGACGTCCGCGCGAGTCTCTCACGCCCCAGCAGCTTCGTGAGTGGTACGCTAGTTGGGGTTGTGGCGGTAGCCGTCGTAGCTGTCGCCCTAGAGCTAGTCAGTTGGGAGCGTCTGGCAGTGGCCAGCTGCAGCTGCAGCGGTGTCCGCACGAGACACTTACGCCCAGCAGCTTCATGAGTGGTACGCTCAGAGTAGAGGGTCTCAGAGTACCGTTCGCTGCCCGTACGTCATTCGCACAGGTGATCGGGCTGGTCAGGCTTGCGGGACGCTTGGTCACACACAGTCCCGCTGCTTCGCCCGTCTGAGCGACGCCTGGCGTACCGAGTTTGGCGACGAGGCTGAGCTCCCCACCTAGCTGGAGCTACTTAGGCAGAGGGTAGATATCTTTGCTCTCGACTATGATGCTATTCTCACTGCCATGTATGCATTGCCTACTAGTGCTGACGGTGCCTGTTACTGTGCGTACCGCCTGACCCATGTATAGAGCCTGCTGCTCTAGGTGCTGGTGAGGCTGCTGCTCTAGGTGCTAGTGCGTCTCCTGCTCTAGGTGAGGGTGAGGCTGCTGCTCTAGGTGCTAGTGCGTCTCCTGCTCTAGGTGCTGGTGAGGCTGCTGCTCCAGGTGCTGGTGAATCTGCTCTTTCTGGTACTGCGCCTGCTGAGGCCTTGTACACCTTCACACTTGACTCAGGTGCTTCCCGCTCCTTCTTTCGCGACAGCACCACCCTCACGCCGCTCAGTCGGCCGGTTGCAGTCTCCCTGGCAGACCCCTCTGGGGGTCCAGTCCTTGCGCACTCCTCCACGGTCCTGCCGTGTCCGGCAGTCCCATCTGGCTCCCTGTCAGGTCTTCACCTCCCCTCATTCTCTACGAACTTGGTGAGTGGTGCTGACCTCCAAGACCAGTGGGTTGACCAGTTCACTCCTGGAGGTCAGCGCGTGACCCACTGTACGTGCTCCCGGGCGGGCCGGCACCTGGCCACGTTTACCCGTGCGTCTGGCTCGAGTCTGTACACACTGACTACTGTGTCCCCTCAGTTCGCTGCGTCTGCGTCTGCGTCAGGTCAGCTAGTGGCCCCCTGCTCGTGACGCACTTTGTCGCACCAGACCCTCCTTTGGCACCACCGTCTTGGTCACCCCTCGGTGCAGCGCCTTCGTAGTATGCACCGCCGTGTCCTTGTCTCTGGTCTTCCCAGGGTTCTCCCTCCCCTCCCACCCTCGCCTGCTCCTCCCTGTCTTCCCTGTGTCGAGGGGCGGCAGCGCGCCGCTCCTCACTCCTCCTCGTTTCCCCCGACGACTGCTCCCCTGCAGACGCTGCACATGGACGTGTGGGGCCCATCCCGTGTCAGTGGGCAGGACCGCGAGCGGTACTTCCTGCTGGTTGTTGACGACTTCTCGCATTACACCACGGTCTTCCCCTTGCGCACCAAGGGTGAGGTCCCTGATGTTTTGATCCTTTGGATCCGCGCTGCTCGTCTCCAGCTCTGCGAGCGGTTCGGGACGGTGTTTCCCGTCCTGCGTCTGCACTCTGACGGAGGTGGGGAGTTTTCCTCCGACCTTCTGCAGAGCTTTTGTCGTGGGGAGGGCATTGTCCAGACGTTCACGCTTCCGGCCTTTCCGCAGCAGAATGGGATTGCTGAGCGCCGCATTGGCTTGGTCATGGAGGTCGCTCGTACCTCCATGGTCCATGCGGCTGCCCCCCATTTTCTGTGGCCGTTTGCGGTTCGCTACGCCGCGCATCAGCTCAACCTCTGGCCCCGTGTCTCCTTGCCGGAGACCTCGCCCACACTGCGGTGGACGGGGAAGGTTGGAGATGCGTCGGTGTTCCGGGTCTGGGGTTCTTGTGCCTTTGTCCGCGATACCACCGCGGACAAGCTCTCCGCCCGCGCTGTTCCCTGTGTCTTCCTTGGCTTTGTCCCTGACGCGCCTAGTTGGCTGTTTTACCACCCCACCTCGCGCCGTGTCTTCCCCTCTCAGGACGTCACGTTCGACGAGTCGATTCCCTTTTACCGTCTCTTCCCCTACCGCACTGCCCCTCTCCCCCCCCCCGCTGCTCTTCCTCGCTCCAGGTGCTCCCCAGGTAGACCCCCTCCCCGCTCCCGGTCCTGCTCCTTCAGGTGTGTCTCAAGTAGACCCTCCTCCCTTAACTGCGCCAGTTGAGGTCACTGGTGACTCTGGTTTTGCTGAGGGTGGTCCTGCTCGGGGTGCTGCTTCTAGGGGTGCGGAGCCTGAGGGTGCGGAGCCTGGGGGTGCTGAGCCTGAGGGTGCGGAGCCTGGGGGTGCTGAGCCTGGGGGTGCGAAGCCTGGGGGTGCTGAGCCTGGGGGTGCAGAGCCTGGAGGTGCTGAGCCTGGGCGTGAGGAGTCTGGGGGTGCTGAGCCTGGGGATACTGAGTCTGGGGGTGCTGCACCTGGGGGCGCTGAGGCGTCTGGTGAGCAGTCTCCCTGGAGCGGCCGTCTCCGTAGTCGCTCCGCTGGTGCCTCGCCGCTGCACTCTCGTCGTCGTCTCCCTCTCTCCCCACAGCAGCTGCGTGAGTGGCACGTTAGCCGTCAGGGTCGAGCTGCTGGAGCTGGGGG